CTGACTAAGGATCAAATGACATGGCAAGTCATGCTGAGCTCAGGCTGAACCTCCATCCTCTGGGTTCTAGTTGGGTGGTTTCCACTCCCAGACCTGAGGGGCGTGGGGAGCAAAGGGGTCATGGAGGTGGTGATCTTGGCTTCCCTCTGTTTTTGAGAGGAAATTTCAGTTTTTGCAGGGTCCCAGAACCCTGGGAAGTCTGACGTATTTCTCAAAGTGCATAGCTGGTTTCATGTCTCACATTTCTGACAGTTACACACCCTCTCTCTCCCTTTCCTGCTCTCTACCATACCTACTCTCCAAGTAAACATCCCGGATGGAGTTTTTTCTCCTGGCACTTGGACCCTGTAGTCCCCTGCTAACCTTCAGCAGCACTTGAAGCATATGATTAGGGGAAAGCTGGCCATTCAGTGGGGCCTTGACACTGCTGAGAGAGGGTCTGGAACTGGTGGGTGGCATCAGGGTATCAGGGCAGGGCCAGCCAGGTCCCTCCATCTCATCTTTTCCTGCAAGGTCTCTTTTGGGCTCCTCCAGTGGCCCCTTCCCTTATCCCCCTGCCCATCTGGCCTCCAGTGGGCATGGCTTAGTTCTGATTCCTTTCCATGTCTCCAGGACCCAGCATGAGGCCTGGCACAAAAAGGATGGGCAGAAGGAAGTAACAAGTAAGCTGCCAACACATGCAGCTCTCTTTTCCCACATACCCCACCTCTACATTTCCCTGATTTCTCCTCGGAGGGCAGAGGTCCCTCTTATGCTTTCCAGTGGAGAATGTGTGGAACACAGACTATCTAACCCACATACATCCTCCTACTACCCCCACACATGAATGGTCTTCTGCAATTTTCGGAACTAGCAAGATCTTCCTGCCTCCAGGCCTTTGCATAAGCTGATACTTCTGATCTTTCTGTGTTCTGCAAACTCCTACTCATCCTTCAAAACCCCACTCAGATGTGACTTCCTCTAAGAAGTTTTCCATGGTTGGGTCAGGGATCCTTACTCTGAGTTTTCAGTTTCCTGGGACTTCTTTTCTCTAGACCTTGATTAAATAAGGCTCCTACCCTGGGTCATTAGTTTCTCTGGGACTGGCAAAGCTGTATTCAGTAGAGGCTGAATGAATGGCTGGATTTGCAGAGGAGGCAAGGATAGTCCCATAAGGACAAAGGCCACTAACAGGCTGCAGGAAGGGTGGCAGCCCAGAGACATTTAATGGGCACTGAAGCTAAATATCAACTGGCATACATTAGGCACTCAATTAGTTGATTTTTAACAACTTGATTTGATACTTAACTTATCAGCAGCTCTCACACTAAACCCTCAAAAATTTTTCCTGACAATGAACCCACAGCTAACAGCATGTTTTATTTACCAGGACTTACCGCAGTCTTTGGCTACATTATCAGAGGGCACGGCACATCTTTGGAACTGGGGAGGTGATCTGTTAGGGATAGTTGTGTGTGTTCGAGACTATCACTATTTTTCCTGGAGTAGAGCACCCTTTGAAAGTCATTGACAGATGGGAATGCTTCAAGAGAATTCCACCCCTTCTCATGAGGAATGACGGGGAGAAGGGGTAGGGAATTTGCTGCGAAAAGATAAGGACTCATGCACTGCCTCCGACTGCGACTGCGTAAGGAGCTGTCCTAGGGTGAGGTGCGCTCCTGGCCTCAAGGCAAAGCTGGGACTGTGAGGCAGATTCCTTTGGCACTGAAACAGATGCTCCCAGGAGGGGAGGGACTGAGCACAAGAGAGGGTGCTCCTTATTGAGATAGCTCCCACATTACCTCTGAGGTTCTTTTCAATGTTTAGAAGGCAAAAATGTTAGGATTATGTGGCCCTAAGATTCTAAAATGCCAGAATTCTGGACTTCTGCCATGTGGTTTTAGGGCTCTGAGACCCTGAAGGCAAAATAACCCAGCCAAAGACCTTAAGACAGGAGATAAAGACCTTACCCTAGCCCTACTGTCCCAGAACCCACCTGCCTCCTTGCTCCACATATCTCAAATAGACATTTTATCCATACCCCTACCTCTAGGCTGCTTCTCCTCTCAGTCTCTCACATACCCAAGAGGCACTTCTTACCCCTCTAACTAGGAGAACGTGGTGTGACAAAGGACATATGGGAGTATCAGGTAATTTGTCAGAGGGGACGATGCCAAAGCAGCAAATAATGATCCCTCCTCTTTCCTGTCTGAATTAACTGCTTCGATTCTCTGTGGCTGGATTTTCTCCCTGGTAGCCTCATCTGATGCTAGCACTTGTCAGTCCAACTACACCTCCCCCACAACCCCCATCCCCACCACCATGAGGAGGAATGGAAGGGTAAGAGGATGTAGAAGATTAGGATCCCACCCTGGCTGTGGATAACCCCATCTCAGAGTATAAAAAGCAGACCGGTTTGGAGAGCAATGCCATCCCAGTGGGAAGTCTATGTGCCTAGCCTCAATCCTGCTCCATGCAGTCAGAGCCCATTTCTTCTCCCTTAGTCTGGGAGAAGACACCAAGGGACTCACCTCAGGGCAGTCCAAAATATCCTCCCAAGCATCCCCTTCCACTCCCTCCAATGCCCCAAGGTCAGCAGGAATGACATGGTACCACTTACAAGAGCAGAGTATCGGAGATTATTGCAGACTTTATAGAAAACTGCCCAAGGGACATCCAGATTTCGTGGGTAGCAGTGGGAAGGCAGGCCTCAAGTCAGTATGTTGAAGAGGGTGACTTCCTGTGTATGGAGGCAGCACAGCCAACCATTCTGCCTGACCAAGGGAGTGGGAGGCAGGGAGAGGCAGCCCCTTCCCCGCTCACCAATTGTGCTTTGGGATCATGCAGAAGGCAGGGCGCTGAGGCTCTGACCCTGAACAGGAGGGCTTGTGCCTGAGACAGAAGGCTAGAGCCCCTTCTTCTTCCAGAAGGCATATGGGGGAGGGGGGGTTCAGCAGCAAGGAATCCTTAAGGGAGTAGAAGCACATGGGTGGGAAAGAGCCATGTGGGCAGCAGCTCCCAGCCCTTCAGACTCCCCTCCCTCTCCCCTCTGAGGCCATGATGGGCAGGTGACCCTGGTTCTGAGGCAGGACTTCACACTCCCAGGACTCTCCCTTCCCAATGGGGAGCTGCCAGGATGGTTGGGTGTGTGTGTATGGTACCTGCACCTATCTTGCAGGGCTGGAGAGCTCATTCTAGGAGGTAAAAGGGGTGGGCACATCCCAGGGATGGATTCCTCACTGAACTGACCCAATGAGTGGCAGGGGTGGGTACTGAGTGCAAGCTATGGGTGTGGGGGGAATCAAGAGCCTAACACTTGGGCGGGGGTTGGGGGGNACGTGTTATTACTATTATTATTTTATAAGGGCAGATACCTTGTCATTTTTCTTCAACACTGTATCCTCAGCTTCTTCCTAGCCCAGTACTTGGCACATAGTAGGCACTTAACTAAAATACTTGTTGAATGGATTGTGACTAAGTCCATTCCAAAAAAGGAACTTTCCCATCTTTACCAGCAGATGGCGCATGTATGCCAAGAAAAATTAAAACTGGTTCGGCTTCGACACAACTGGCCAAAAGATGTCGCTGCAGTTCCCTGGGGGCAAGGACGTAAGGCTGAGCCTTTCAGTGGCGCACGTTGCTCAGATAGGACGCTGGATGAGTATTCCAAACGGAGGGCCAGAGAGCTATAATTGTATTAAAAAAAAATCGAAGTCAAGAAGTGAAGCCTAAATTATGTTTTGCATGATTACATATTCTAAAGCTGCATTTTCTTTCTGTTTTCTCACTTGATTGAACAGCGATGAAGAGCTGGCCATGCAAGCGTCTTACCTAATGGTAAACTCAGTTCAATGAGGTGGGAGATTGTGGGGATCAAAGGGAGTGGGCATCTGACTTGCAGCAGAGGGAGGCTATGAGCTCTGCATGATGCTTCTCCTCCTGTACTGTGGATTTCTGTGGGCCACGGGCAGTGTTCACACATTTTCTCTGGGCGCCAGGGCTGGGGACCGGAAAGGGAGCTGGGCCCCTGTGGGGAGCGCTTGGTCTGGTGCCCACACCAGGCCACAAAGCCAATCAGTACAATCAGTCTGGGGATGGGGGTACAGTGACAGGAGGAAGAGGGGACTCTTGGTGTGGGGAAGGCAGTCCGGGCAGAAGGTACTGTGTGAGCAAAGGTACGAGGCGTGGAATAGCTGGGCTCAGTTACAAAGATCTGAGTCGTTCGGTGTGGCTGGAGAATAGTGTTCAAGACATTGTTTAGCGTGGCTGGAGAACAGGGTCCGCAGTGGGGATAACTAACAGTGCATTAGTTATCTAGTGCTGGCAGGCTAGCAGTCTAGCACTTTTTCTTTTCCCATCCAGGTCTTGTCAAAAGTCACTGAAGTCCAGGGTCCCAGCCAGGTACAGTCCTAGCTTATTCTTGTCTCCATGTAATTATTAATAGTAGCCCCTTTCACTCTCCAAAGTTTCCTAGTTTGGGTGGTTACCTTAGTTAGGGCCCCTCTGTGCTTCTGTTATCACAGTGAAAACAGGAACAGAACCTGGTTCATCTCAGAAGGTGACCAGTGGAGAAGAGAGGCTCAGGAAGAGTTTCATGCCTGGGACCTCAGTGCTTGGGAGTCCAGACAAACCCTTTCTCTTCTCAGGAAGGGGTGGAGATGCCCCTTTCATCGAGAAGGATTCCCCAGCAGGGTTCCTGCCTGCAGGAGGCTGCAGTGGGTTTTTGAGGCCTGCTGGAAACTGCAGATGGAGGCCAAAGAGTCCTCCCCACCCCTTCCTTGTGTGCATTCTTTTTGCATCTCCTGGCACTGGCAACGCAGACTGGGGTCTGGCTGCAGAAGGCAGTGACCACAGGGGTGGAGATACAGAGTTAGGAGGTGGGGTGGTCCTGGGTCAGATGGACCCAGAGCAGGGCAGGTGGGGGCCCAGGGGGATACTGGGCTCTGGTTCTGCTGTGCTCCTGACACCCTGTGTAACCTGGAGGGCTCCTGCACTCTCTGGGCCTCAGTTTCCCTACCAGTACAACGAAGGATTAGTTGAGGTGGTCTGCATGGGACTGGCAGGCGAGGATAAATTGCCCTGAGGCAGCGCTAAGGAAAGAGGGTGGAGGCAGTGAGGGAGGGGTGAAGGGGTGGAGGAGGGGACTCTGAAAGTGGTCAAGTGCATTACACCAGGAATATTAACTGCCCC